CCCGGGAATTTTCTCCCTGATCTAGGAATTTGATCGGGACGAAAGTGTCAAAGTGTTTTAGCATTTTATGGCTCCTCTTCCCGTCTTTGTTTGCTGTTCTCAAGAAGAAGTAAGGGTAGCCATAATTGCTCTCTTCTAGTTTTGTCTTTGTAGTGTAAGGATGTAGCCGATTATGCTCCGTTGTTATTTTCATCCCAGTTACCCTTCCCCATGCTAGAATTTAGTAAAAACGTTATACTTTAATCACACATGGACTCTCAGTCTGAATTATTTTACTCAGGCTCTGCTGGGCTATATATTATCTCTGCTAAATACCAATTATTCAATATCTCACTATCACCCAACAGCGGGGCTGAGAGGGCTCTTTCGAGGACTGCCCTTGAGAGAACAGCTCTTGTCAGAACTGTGGCTTGCCCAAGGTCACCCAGCAGGTGCAAGTGGAGGAGTGGGGAATCAAACCCGGTTCTCCCAGATTAGAGTCTGCGCACTTAACCACGACACTAAACTGGCTCAGATTGGATGCAGCAATCTAGTTCTTCGTTATTTTGCATCCTCTGTATCTTTCCCCCATGTTAGTTTTACAGTAAACTTTATCTTTCACAAACATACACGTGGACTCAGCCTCTCAATCTTTGGCTCTGCTGCTTTTTTAAATCTCTGCTTAACTATATGTATATGTGTGTGTGTGTGTGTGTGTGTGTGTGTGTGTGTGTGTGTGTGTGTGTGTGTGTGTGTGTATTAAAAAAAACCAAAGAATACCCTACAGGAGGGTTGCCTGATCCAGGTTGGGAAACTCCTGGAGATTTGGGGATGGAGTCTGGGGAGGACGGGGACCCTAGTGTGTGTGTGGGTGGCGGGGCACAGTGCCACAGAGGCCGCCCTCCGAAGCAGCCATTCTCTTGAGGGGAAACTGATCTCTGTAGTCTGGAGATGAGCTGGAATTCCGGGGGATCCCCAGGTCCCACCTGGAGGCTGGCATTCCCCAACCCCCTGGGTGGGCCAAAGGCCTATGGAAAGGGGAAAGGGCGCGTCAAGGTCCAAAGCCCCACCACGTTTCTCCCGGAACCCTCGGCCGGCGGCAGGAGGGGAAGCGGCGCTCTGCACGTGCTCCGGCGCACTCTTGCCAGCCCCCGAAATTTCTCCCTGGCAGGAAAGGGATGACTGGGGGGGGGGGAGCAGAGGATGGGAGGGTCTGTCTGCGGCCGCCTGAAAGCGTCTCGCGCGGCCTCCCCCCTGGCTCCTGGGGGCTCCCTCGCCAGTGGCGGGATTGGGGGCAGGAGGATCTTTGCCGGGCCGCGCTCACGGTGGGGCCGTGGGCTGCTCTGGGGGAGAGAAGAGGCACCCCCGCGGTGCGACCGGACTTCCCCAAGTGGCGCCCGCCGTCCCCACTGGCCCTGCAGGGGCTCTTGGCCGCGGGTGGTCCAGGAGGGCGACGCTGCGGCATCCGGCTGAGCCAATCAGCGCCCAGGTGGCAGAGGCAGGAACGCGGCATCCTCCGGAGCATCCTTAGCCAGGGGAGGCGGCGCCGGCTGCGGGACCGGAATCCGTTCCTGGGAGCCACGAAGAACCAGGAGCCGCGTTCGGCTGGGTCTTCGCGGGCGGAACAAATCGCCGGGACCGTCCTTCTCTGCCCAGAGAGAGACTCGCGAAGGGTCCGTCCAAAAATCGAAATCTTCCTTCAAGTTTACCGCATGATCTGGAACTGTATTTGGCTCTGACCACCGGCGCTCCCTCTAAGCCGTGGAGTCTGGTGAGCAGAAAAAATCCTATTTTGTGAGCTCCTGGCATTCAAGTGGTGAGCGAGCTATTTGGCTGCTGCGTACATTATTTTTGTTTGTTTATTTATTTCAATTTATACCCCGCCCTCCCTCCAAAGCAAGCCTTAGTTTGCTCTGGAGCCCTCCTTCCTGAGCTCAGACAAAAATGCTTAGAGGGAACACTGCTCCAATGTTCCCTCTAAGCTGTGGAGTCCTGTGAGCAAAAATTCTATCTTGTGAGCTCCTGGCATTAAAGTTGTGAGCGGCCAATTTGGCTACTGCCTACATTAGTTTGCTCTGGAGCCATCTTTCCTGAGCTGAGTCAAAAATCTGTGAGCCGGAGGCTAAAAAATGGTGAGCTAGCTCACACTAACTCAGCTTAGAGGGAACACTGCTGCTGACCACTAGTCCCTCTGTTCCTCCGACGTGTGTGTGTATGGGGGGGGGGATCCATCCTGAATGGATAATAAGGGGGGGAGCTTCAGCCCCACCACTGGATTCTTTCTTTATTTATGAGATTGGATTCCCTAGGCCGCCCTTCCCTCAAAACTAGGGCTCCGGGCGGCTCACAACAGGGTAATACACAGTCTCAATAGAAAACTAAATTAAAACAATCCAGTACAGGCTAGCAGGTAAAGGATTAGAGCGGCCGGCTTGATTAAGAGTCCTCTATTAACGAGGACAATTATTTAGCAGTGATTAATAGGCTAATGAAGCGCGGCACCGCGGAAATCTCCCCCCCAGGAGAGAGTTTCAGCTGATCGAGGGAAAGACTTTTGCAAGACTGGAGCGAGAAGAAGAGAATTTGCCCTTCCCCCCCACCCTTACGAGGGTCAAAACCGTCCCCACCAACGACTCCGAAGAGAGGTCCAAATTTCGGCTCGGTGTACATTAGATAGTGGGTATTTCTAACCATTTTGTTCCGTTTGCTAAAAACACATTTGCATCTCCGTTTAAAGCTGGATGCATTCGACCAAGAATGTTTTCCAAAAAAATTACAACGACTGAAATTTTGTTTTTGGAGCGTGATCCCCGACACCATTAAGCGGGATCCCTTGGTCGGGACGGAAGCCAGTTCCAAGCAGCGACCCCCGCGTCGTCAAAACCTTCCAAGCCGGTGGGGGGGAGGTTGAGTGTCCAAGCGCCGAAGCCCCCGCGCAAAGGCGCTCCGTTCCACGCAGGGGCTTTGCCATCTGCTTAAGTGAGTTCGGGACTGCAGTTCTGGAGCATCTGAGCGGCCGAGAGGCGAGCAAGGGAGGGACTTCTTTTGCTGAGCCTGAGCGCCTCCTTCGATCTCAGCAGGGTTGCGAGGAGGAGGAGGAGGAGAAGAAGAAGAGGAGGAGGAGGAGGACCAGGACCAGGAAGAGGACCAGGAGGAGGAGGAGACTGGATTGATACCCGGGCCTTCACTACCCAAAGGTGTCTCAGAGCGGCTTACAAACTCCTTTCCCTCCCCCTCCCCACAACAGACACCCTGTGAGGTAGGCGGGGCTGAGAGAGCTCTGACAGAAACGGCTTTTTCTAGAACAGGTCTTATCAGAACTATGGCTTGCCCAAGGTCACCCAGCAGCTGCAAGTGGAGGAGTGGGGGAATCACACCCGGTTCTCCCAGATTAGAGTCCGCGCACTTAACCACTCCGCCAAACTGGCTCTCATAAGAACATAAGAACATAAGAGACGCCAATGTTGGATCAGGCCAAAGGCCCATCCAGTCCAACACTCTGTGTCACACAGTGGCCAGAAATACTAGGTGCCATCAGGAGGTCCACCAGTGGGGCCAGGACATTAGAAGCCCTCCCACTGTTGACCACTGTTGACCAAAGAGCGATTAGGTCCAGCGAGTGGTTTTGTTGGGGATCTCCCAGCAGTCCTGTCGAACTGGATGGTGGATCCCGCCCTGTTTTGTTTTGTCCGTCCCCCCCCCCCCCACTTTCTCTCTGGCTCTGGAGCCGCAGCTGACGCGTCAGGACGCCCCAAAGAGAGATTTCGCTTCCGAGAAGCGCTGGCCAGCCCGCGCCAGGAACGGCGCCAGCGGCGGAGACCGAGGCGAACCCCCCAGGACGCCTGGGTCCCAGCCTGGCCAGCTGCAGCCAGGGGGCAGGGACACATGGGGGGTGAAACAGGGGGCAAAGGGAAGGCCAGGCTTCAGATTCCCCACCACCACCCTGCCCCTTTCCCCCCTCCCTTCTGCGTCCCCCGGAAAAAGCAGGGCCGGGGATCTTTTGCGCTTTTGCGCACCTCCGAACGAGCGGCCCCCGTCGGAGTTCTGGTCGGGCGCCAATCCAATTACAGTCATTAAAAAGCCGCTCGGGGAGATGAGATGCCGCCGAGCCCTCCCCCTCTCCCGCCCCCCACCCCCAAAAAAGCGTGACACACACCCGGGTCTTTTATTCGTTTGCATTTTTATTATAGGGATGTGTAGATAAAGGGGGGGGGGGGTTTGCCTTTACATCGCAACAGGTCACTGTCGGCTCGAAGGGCGCAAATCATCCACTTTTACAACGTTGTCGTCTCTCCCCGTCTCCCCCCTCCTTCTCCAGCCCTCCCCGGGAAGAAAGGTGGTCTTGTGAACGGGGATGCGCGCGGGCACAGCTGAAGAGGACTGGGACACACACACACCCTTCCGTCGGCGCGTTGCAATCCCTCCCCACCTCCCCCCCACTATCTCCATCTCTTCCCCGTGGCCGCCCGTCGCCCCCCACCTCTGCACCGGAGCGGGAAGGTGGCAGCCAGTGTTCCCTCTAAGCTGAGCGAGTGTGAGCTAGCTCGTCGTTTTTTAGCCTCCGGCTCACACGTTTTTTGGTCTTCGCTCCGGAAAGGGGTGGCTCCAGAGCAAACCAACTGATGGCAGCAGCCAAATGGCTCGCTTTAATGCCAGGAGCTCCCAAAGTAGAAGTTTTGCTCACAAGACTCCGCGGCTTAGAGGGAGCATTGGCTGGCACCCCTCTGCCATCAAAGCCAAGGAAAGGCGGCTGGTGGGGGTGGGGGGTACAGAAAATGTGGG